TTCTGTGGTCTAAAAAAAGCGACATGAAGGAGTCATTTAGTCGTCGTACACTATTTCGTACGATGACGTGGAGGAAAAACAAATGTTTTCTCCCTTAAACCCTAGAAAAACCCTAAAAGATTCCTTAGGAGCCATTTTCAGTGGCTCAGACCACAGGAGAAGATTTCATCCCCCATCAACTACCGACAAAGACTGTCACCGCATGGCAGATATTAGAAAGCAAAACAGAGATGAAATGGCAGAGGAACTACTCTTACCTCTTGAGTATGAAGATTGTTCCTCTTGCTCTGAGTGTCAAGCATGCACCAGTCTGGGAGATAGAAAATCGTGGCTCACGAAAGTTTCTTGCTTTTCTCTGAAGAAGTGAATATGGTGCCATTGCTTGAGGTGAGTCTGAGGTTTTATAGTGAAGGAAATGGCATTTGGGTTTCCCCAAGTCAAATGACATTTGAGCGGAAATCGCTTCTCACCATTGATTGCGACCACGTGTCGCTAGTCAGCGAAGAAGAGTGACCGACATGCTTCGAGAAACCAAATCGTCGTTCTTTTCCGTTGAAATACTCAAGCGACGTACGTTTCCCTCCTCCACATTAAATGCGCCTACTTTCGCATTTAATGTTCTGATAGGGAATGTCGTTTTAACATGGCTTGCATTTAATGCTCATGGCTTATTGCGCATAAGACACGTCTGTTAGAGCAAAAGATATTTCATTCAATGCATCAACTACAAAAGTGCAACGGATAACATCTGAAGAGGTCTTTACATTAAACACTCTTCATAGTGTCAGTCGCGAAGTGACCTGATTCTTCGTCTTCGTCGTGTTAGTTGTGAAGCGACATGACTTTGCTTTCAACAAAGAACTCGCAAGTGAAATTAGGTCGAGGAGAGCCTCGGTCAAAAACCATAATCATCGTTATGGCACTGAATAGGATCTAGAACAGGTCGCAGACCTTGAGGAAGATCATTTCAGGTCGCCTGCATGGGAATATTTCCACAGTCTCTTTGTAACCAGGTCAGATCGACCAGTGTCCATTCAACGCATCAAATCAAGGCATAATTGTGTAGTCTTCAAGGTTCGATTCTCAAACCTTAAAAACTAGAGGACTTCTGTTATGCCTGAAAAAGTAGGGTTGACGCTGCACCTCGTCAACATGGGTGGTCAGAGTTTAGGTAGGCTTTGCAGCCATTCAAACGCAGTAACGTCACACGCTGACGTAAGCGGCATGCTCCTGCTGGTGTAGTGGGTGCACGACAAACTGACAAATGGCCAGAGAGGTTCCACGTGTACAATCCCTGCATAAGTCGAGGAAATTACTCGAGCAGGTGAGCAACGGGACATAAAGAAGGATCTTCACGACAATCTGACCACTCACAGATTCAGTAATCATTACCTCAATTCATCCCACTATAAATAGAGGGCTCCCCCCCCCGTTTGTGGGATTAGCTAATTTCTCTCTAGAATTGGAGCAACTTGCTTTGCTGTTGGAAAGATGCCTTGTCCCTTTTCTTGATGCCGAATAGAGGGGCTAGAGCGATCAAAAGAAAGATGCTTTCGGATGAGCCTAGGTCTGTCTATTTCTTATATATAAATTCTCAGTTCAGTGTAAGTGGCTTGTAGATGAAACCTTCCTTTATAGGGTCGATAGGCCTTCCCTTATCTTAGCCCTCTTTCTTCTGCATTTCCTTCCTTTTACACCTTTGTTCAATTGGGACTTCTTAGTGGTCCTTGGCCATTCCTCCTTGACCCAGCTGTTCATCATGTTTTATGAGAGAGATGCCATGGTCTATGTTTGAGATTGTTCAGGATCAGTCAAAGTCTTGTCTTCTTTTCTTGAAATTATGGTAGAGTTAAATGATAGCGATTCTGAATAGGAGACTTAGTCAAAAGGTCTGAGCAAAAACTTGAACAAATGCGAAAGTTGGTCATAATTGCGCTACCTAACATTCGTTCTATTCTCAGTTTATCCTTCATAGAGGCATGGATAGAGATCAAGTTTTTAGTACTCGATTGAGCCTATTTCTAGCCTTTAGCTGAGAGGGATTGAGGATCGACGTAGTTGATCTAGGATAGCGAACCACGACATTTGAACGATAAGGATAGGTGATAGGCGACATTGGAAAACGACTTAGAGGTGAAGGGCGTATGAAAGACGCGGTTTCTAAGCATGAATGAAAATAGACCCAATTGCTTACAATCTCACTCAAGATAAAGATAAGTGGCGGTCGGTGCACAGGGCCGCTCGCTTGAGCCAATCAGTGAGTCGTTGGGCCAATGCTTTCTCTTTTCAGTCAACAGTACATTCCACCAATGCTTTCTCTTTTTAGTCAACAGTAGCAGTCCAAGCCCGGTGGGCACAAGATCTTCTGTTCCGACAGTTAGATCGAATGGATTCGAATCTCCTCATCTCAATATGAAGGAGTGGGTGAAGCAAGATAGTAATCTAGTTAGATAGCTCAGAAAGTAATGTACGGGAAAGAGACATGAAAACGAATCTATCAGCATTTTCAAAACAGAAAAAACAAGACGTTAAAAAGCAATACAATCTGTGAATTAGCGCATCTCGTTCAAAGTGAAAAGGAAGGTTTGTTCGTGTGATGCTAACCTCTAAGGTTTGGTGATGCTTTCCTCTGTAAACCATGAAAGTCAGCAAGTCATAGTCACTTCATAAGTTGACAAGATTCGACCAGTTTCATGTGTGCCAATTACGTGTGGCGCTTGTGCAGAGAGGAGAGGAGAGCGAGCTAAAGAGAGTTTGTTTTCCGTGAGTTTGTCTTTATCGATACATCGAACAGTCTCGGTTGTTCTAGTTACGAGTGTGGAGTGGCAGTGGCAGTGGAGGGAGAGGTTTCAGGAGCTAGTAGAGGTGGAGGAACATGAAGGCTTGCTGGCTTGTTGAGCTTGCCTCTGATCGCATTCTGTTGACCTATGATTCCATGGACTGGCTTGGACAGGATTCGAACCTGCAGTCTTCAGGTCATGGGCCTGATGAGTTGACCAATTCCTCTACCCTGCTTCTTCCCCTTCTCTTTCTTTCACTATTCCCACCGAGGTCCACCGCTTTTGTAGCTTGGTAGGGATAGAACCAGCGCTTAGTAAGCGGCGGCGCCAGCCCCTTGTATAGGTTGGAGTTATGAACCTTATTATTATGAAAAAGAGAAAGGGCTTTTTCAGCTTGCTGACTAGGGTTGGCAGCTAAATTAAGTCTTCTAGACCCCATAACATAAGAAAGTCGTGGAGTGCATAAGCCCCCTTAGAGATAGGGGCGACTTTCTTGTGGTAGTAATTGCGAATGAGCAAGTAGGGGGCGACAACTAAAGAGGCAGCGAGACTGACCGCAATTGTAGGAATAGGTTGACTTTCTTTCATTTTGGTTATGGAAAGTGAAAGTGGTTTTGTATAGTACGAGATCGCTTCACACCTCGCAGTGTTTGCACCTCTCGCCTATCGAAGTTTAGGTTGCCTGCATGGGAATGTTTCCGCTGTCTCTTTGTAACCAGGTCGGATCGACCAGTGTCCATTCAACGCACATCAAATCAAGGCATAATTGTGTAGTCTTCAAGGTTCGATTCTCAAACCTTAAAAACTAGGGGACTTCTGTTATGCTTGAAGAAGTAGGGCTGACATTGCGCCTCGTTAGCATGGGCGGTTAGAGTTTAGGTAGGCTCTACAGCCATTCAAACGCAGTAACGTCGCACACTGACGTAAGCGGCATGCTCTTGTCAGTGCAGTGGGTGCGAGACAGACTGGCAAGTGGCCGGAGAGGTTCCACCTGTACAATCCCTGCATAAGTCGAGGAAATCACTCGAGCAGGTGAGCAACGGGACATAAAGAAGGATCTGTACGGCAATCTGACCCACTCACAGATTCAGTAATCATTATCTTAATTCATCCCACTATAAATAGAGAGCTCCCCTCTCGTTTGTGGGATTAGCTAATTTCTCTCTCTCTCTCTCTCTCTCTCTTTCTCTTGTACTCTTAAAGCTATAAATCAGCTCGCTAGACGCGACTTGATCTTACTCATTAATACAATATCAATGGACGTAAGATTCGCTTGTTTAAACATCCGAACCACTTTAAATATTGTTCTTCATCTCTTATTCGATCCATATACACGTGTGTCTTCTGAGTCGGCTTAGCATTTCTCACGTGCGATCCGTTGTTGTCAAAATCAAGCATCAAACAGATGTGAATTAATAATAAGTACACAAATGCAATGCGTTGTCATTGAGAATTAGAGCTAGGCATTTGGGACCGGGCCCAAAAGCCCAGCTCTAAAACCCGGTCCTAGGACCGGTCCTCTCAAGGACCGGACCTAGGAGGCCTGGTCCTAAAACGGGACCAGGCCTAAGGAGGAGGGCTCGGGCCCTCCTCCAAGGCCCGGGCCTGGGACCGGTCCCAAGCCTGGGCCCAAAAAAATTTGTATTTTTTCAATGTAGTCCCCTACCAAATTACATAAAACCCCCTGTTAATTTTAAATAATATAAATTACGAGGGCTAAAATGAAATTTTACAAAATTTATAAAAAAAAAAAATCTTCCAAGTCTAAAAAATTTATAAATTTTACCCTTAAAAAATATTAAAAACCCCGATAAAATTTCGTTTTGCCCCCAAAATATAAAAAAATTGAGGAAGGAAAATGAAATTGTCCAAGGCCCATGGGAGCGGTCTTAGGACCGGTCCTGGGCTCATGGGATCAGTCCTGACAAAGCCTAAGGCCTGGTTCGGGTCCTAATTTTTCTCATGGGCCTGGGACCGGTCCCAAGCCCATGAATGACTGGTCCTATTTGGGACCAGTCCCAAACGGACCCAGGCCTGGGCCTACAAAGGACCGGTCCTTGCCCAGCTCTATTAATAATGTGAATGTTCTGTAGAAATTTCTCACATCCACATTCACTTAATGAAAGATATTAACGAGAGATATTAATAACAATAATAAAAGTGCACTCCATTGGTATTGATTACATCCAAAGGTTCATATCAACCCAACCGTCTCTTGATTACATGATTTTCTGTCTCATCTCTCAAATTAAACTCACCCAATCCATTTAACTGCTCAAATATAATCAAAATGTCTCAGCTCTCTCCGCTAATGGCAACTCAGCCTCTTACTATCACACCTCACGTCGCCGCTCTATCACCTCCTCCATGCGTCACCACAACCACCGCCAGAGCCGTCACAGTTGTCCCACTTCCGGCACTTGCCGGTGAGCTCTTGATTCTCCCACTCCGGTTTAGTAGACGACGTTTCAAGATGTTAAATCCGAGTGTGTTGTTTATGAGAGCATCCTCTTTGGAAAGGTTAAAGGTCCGCACCGTTTATTTATTTCAATTATAAAAATAGATTTTGTATTAAAATTTTTGTTGCAAAGAACGGTCAAGTTACAGATTTTGACAGCCAAATTTCTACAGACAAGATAGCTAAGACGTCATGCAACTTTCCTGATTGGAGAGCAAGGTTTGGATCTAGATCTGTTGACCGGATGATGCAAATCTCTTGATTTTCCGTTTGGTTCTCGAGAAAATTTTGGATTTTCCCGGCAAACGAACGGATTTGTAATTTTTGAATCATATGTTCTTTATTGTTGTGAAATTGAGAATTTCGTCTGTCTTTTGGTGTGATTAGGTGTTTTTCTGTGGAAATTTTCGAATTTTTGAAGATGAATCAATTGTATCATCGGAAGAACGCCTTTGGCGCGCGTGAGGAGACGCACGGTTTTGAATTCTCTGATCAGGGGGAGTCTGTTGTTTGTCCGAAGCCACGACGAGTTGGGATTTTGAATTCTCTTTCCTTTTAAATTTTGTTTTTATTTATATAGAAATTTCAGTTTTAATGGAATCGTCATTTCATTACAGTCATCCAGTTGGGGTGTCTGATTCAAACGCCAGGGCAGAGCTTCTAGACATCATTCTCATGAAGGTAAGCTTAATTAATTGTTAAGGTTTTATTATGTGAAATGATTAGTTTTTCATTTGTGATGTATTTATAAGCCTGCAAAGGGTGATGATTTTGATTGAATATAAATATTTTATGTTTTTATTTGATTTTTTTAAATTTAGGTAATAGGTGAGGCTGATTTTCAGCGTAATAGGGATTTGGAGAAGGTAATTTTCTTTTTTATGTGTATATGTTTCTTTGTAATACACGTCGTTTCAATTTATTTGTGCTGGATTTGAAATTTTGTTTGTATGTTGGAAGTTTTTGGTTAATTCGGGTTGTAATTTCTTTCCCTCACTCAGCTTCGCTTATTATTATCTTCCAATTCTTCATTTTAATTTCTTATTTTGTCCAATTTTGTTGCAGTTTTCGTGTAGAAGAAGACCTGGGCATGTTCGATCCCGTAACTCCTCATCTTTCTTTGTTGAATGGTTGTACTATGAGTTCAAGATACCCTAATTCATAATTCTTTATATATAGTGCTTTAAATTATATTTATATCGCTTATTATTATCTTCCAATTCTTCATTTTAATTTCTTATTTTGTCCAATTTTTTTGCAGTTTCTGTGTAGAAGAAGATTCAGGCATGTTCAATCCCATAAGTTCTCATCTTTCTTTGTTGAATGGTTGTATTATGAGTTCAAGATACCCTAATTCATAATTCTTTATATATAGTGGTTTAAATTATATTTATAATGGTAAAAGTTTTAACCATGAATCTTTTCTTATCCAACAGTGACAATTGCAGCATGTCGATTGTTAATTTCCACGGAAGCTGCTCCAATCCTGATTGTTCTTATGATCTCTGCCTGACTTGCTGTGGAGAAATAAGAAAAGGTTTTCAACAGGGATGTATTGAAGAAGAGCTTTCTGAATAGCAGTTAGCTGAAAAAGCAAATGGTCAGGTTACAGATTTTGACAGCCAAATTTCTGCAGACAAGATCGCTAAGACGTCATGCAACTTTCCTGATTGGAGAGAAGAGGGTCCTCCCAAAGCACATGGAGGTTGTGGTACGTAGATACTTGCACTAAGACACATCTTTGACGCTAATTGGATTGAAAAACTGATTAAGACTGCAGAGGACCTGACTATCAATTATAAGCCGCTGGATTTTTTTCTCAAGGATGTTTTTTGTGCAATCATGTATATTCTGCTGAAAATGGAGTAAAAACTTTTGGAGTTAGGCAGGCAGCTCATAGGGACAACAGTCAGGACAATTATCTCTACAGCCCAACTACTACTCAATTGGGAAACAATGAAATCGAGCATTTTCAAATGCATTGGATGAGAGGTGAACCTATGATAGTTACAAATGTGGTTGAAAAGACTTCTGGTCTTAGTTGGGACCTAATGGTCATGTGGAGGGCTTTTGGAGGGACACAAAAGATTTTAAAAGAGGAGGCTCATAAGGTTAAAACTGTTGATTGTTTTGATTGGTGTGAGGTATGTGTCCACGTTTTTATATCCCAGAGTTGCAGTACACCTTTCTGTAGTTGCTGATATGTTCCTCTAGAGGCATACCTCCTTACTGGCCCAGTTCCATTACCAGGCCAGTATTTTACTCGGTTCATGTATTATTACTTTTTACTTTTTCCTTTTTAATGATAATTGGTTTTGTAAGCTTTAAATCTGCTCTGTATTTTTACTTTCATATTGTTATGTGCCCTTCATATGCCTGTTGCTTCACTCTAAACCAAAATCGCAAGCTTCTCCACTCTGCAGGTTCTTGGTTGACTAATTTTGTGGGAATACTTAGCCAAGGACTGAGAATAGCGCATCCTGGAGCACCAGCAACTGGCTATATGGTTCTCTCAGTCTCCCACTGTTTGTGTGTGTGTGTTCATGTGCATGTGTATGTGTGTGTGTGTTTGTGTTCAGGTGTATCTGCACTGCAAGACTAATTAACTTTTTAAGAATCTTTCAAAATAGTTTGGCAAGGGGATATACTTTGCTGACCTGGTCAGTAAAAGTTCTCAGTATTGCTACACTGATAAGAAAAATCCTGTGGGCCTAATGCTTTGGTGAAGTAGCGTTGGGAGAGGTCTACACGGTCAAGAAGGCAGAAGGGAGTTCACCTTCCAATTTACATGTGTACCCTAATTCTTGATGTTTCCCTGCATTGTTGTGTGAGCCTATTGGGTTTATTTTTTTTTTTATTTTTTTTATTTTTTATTTTTTTAATTGTGTCACATTTGTCTGTTGAGATATTACACACTCATTTATTGTGTTCCTGTAACAATTATAACTTATGTATGCTGCTACATCATTTTGTGTGTAATCCTGTATTATAATGGACACATTTTATTTAATCATAAGTTTGGCCCAGTATAATGTGTAGTGTGTGGGAGAAATAATTTCTAATGCATATGCTTCTTCATAGTAATTTCTTTCTGCGTTGTGATTCAATATATGGATAAACCTCAGAAAGATGCGGTTCGTTCTGAACCATGAACAGGTTAGAAATGTGTTGAACACACGAAATAGTTAGGCCAAGGTGCTAGAAATGATTGACATGGGCGTGAGACAGAAGCATTATATAGATATTTTGAAGATTGTTTTTTTTTTTTTTTTATATAAAATGCTCATTTAGTTAATTACAATTGTAATCACGATTGATTTGAGGTTTCATGAAGTAGGCCAACCTCAATAGTGCAAATATTATATTTGGGGGCTTGAGCAAACTAGCATAAAATTTACTTGACCTTTGTAATTCATTAGCATTTTAATTGGATTACGAAGGTCAAGCTAATGCTTATTCATTGGCTGCTAGACAAAATCATTGAGATTCAAGATTAATTTGCTGATTTTCTTTTATTTAAACATATTCTCTGCACTGATCTTTATTATTCAACATACTTGCTGCCAAGATTAATCGCTTCATAGTTTATGTACTTGAAGATTAACCAAAATGTCTACTGAAAGTCTGATTTATTTTATTTTATTTTATTTTCAAGTTTTGACAGATATTAATTTGCATCTTTTGAAATATGTCCAGTGGGTTAACTGAACAATTTTGAATCTTTTTGCCCTTCATGGATAAAACTGTCTATTTGTTTTTCCTCTTTCAAACTATATTTTGTTGAATAATTACAGTTTAACAATTCCTCCTATGAAACTACTTTCATTCATTCCTTCTTCCAATCACTCAATTTTCACCATTGATCTTATCCATCTAACTATAGTAAAACTGTGTATTTTATTCAAACTATTAAGATTTTAATAAGGTGTATGTCAACTGATTTTAAAAGAAAATATTTAAAGTTTTGTCATGCTCGAAATTGTAATTCACTAAGCTTTTCTCTCAAATTTTGCTATAAATTGTTACTTTTCATACTAAAGAGATTAAATTTTCATTCTAAATATCAGTCTTCAACTTCACATAATAGTTATATAGTCCAAGGGTTTACAAATCTTAAATTAAATGGTGAGTGAGAGAATGTTCCTCCAAATTAAAGTACTCTAAAAAATTTTCCAAATCTTGAAAATAAAGCATAAAAACACATGTCCTCTTACACCATCCTTGTAATTACAAAAAACCTATATTTTCTTTCATACCATCCTTATAATCACAAAAAACCCCAAAAACTTCAATTTTATTGTATGGTACCATATGATACCATATCAGGTTTCTTCCCTTTTTGTAATTATTAACTTTGTATCAATTTGCAACATCACCATGCATGTCCCACATGTCCCATGTGCATCTACCAACCTATTTTTATTATCACAAATTAATAATAACACTTTTTTCTTTAATTTTGAATATTCATTTCAAATAATTGATATATATATATATATATATATATAATATATATATATATATATTATATTCAAAGTGATTTATTTAATTGAGAAAGAGAGAAAAAAATTGGTTAGGGAAAGTTGTTTAGCGAAAGAAAGGGACAACAAAAGAATGAAAAGGGAGTTGGTTTGTTAAGTAGAGATTTGATAGAAGCATTAGATTCTCTCGTGGCCCATCACCATCACCATCACCATCACCATCCCAATTTCATTTTTTTCTTCCTCCTAAAATTTATCTACATTTACTTTTTCCTTTTTCATTTACTTTCAAATAAACAAATCCGCCTAATTCTCCATTGTAAGCCACTTGGCTTTTGGGTCCACGTACCTTTCGCTTTCAGGCATGAGGCATCCACACTCTCTCTTTAATATTCTTTATAATTCAAAAAACACACCCACACACACACCTTAATTCTTTTCTTCTCTTTATATTCTCTCTCCAACGGCTCTTTCTGATCTTTGGGTTTTTGTCCCAAGATCTTTGGGTTTTTTAGTTTTATTTTGGAAAGTTAAGACTTGTTCAGTTTCGTATTTAGGTTTTGCTTTGTTATATAATTTTTTACAGTGAATTAATATTAGGATGTTAATGAGATGATGAATCAAGGAGCAATACTCAAACCGTGGCTTCACTTTGACCCTAGTTTGGTTGAGGTAATTATTCTTCTTTTTTATTTATTCACTTCACCCTATTGGTTGAGGTGATTTGATTGGTGTTGACACTAGAAGCACTAGTCTTTTTTCAAGAGGAAGAGAACCACGGAAGAATCGTACTGCTTTTTTGCTCTGGGGAATTATTCTTCTTTTATATTTATTCACTTCACCCTAATTTGGTTGAGGTGATTGATTGGTGTTGACACTAGAAGCACTAGTCTTTTTTAAGAGGAAGAGAACCACTGAAGAATCGTACTGCTGTTTTTGTTGGGGGATTGGATCAATATTTTAAATGTTCAATTTATTTCACTCACTGAAATATTCTTTGCCCTGATATATGTATATATGTTTGTTTCTCACTGGATCGCATTGTAAATCAAATGTCAGTTGTGATTTGATCACTGATTGTTTGGCCTTAGCTTCTTCTTGGGAATATTTCAGAATATATACACTTATTTCGTATCCAATTTTTGGATTGGCAATCTTGTTGGTTTTGTTCGTTGCAGTCTCATTTAAATTTTTATGTTTTGATTATAATGGATCTAATTCTCCTCAATTGGGCCAATATGGAAACATAGATGCCTGCTGAAATATATCCTTTCTTGTATTTGTTGCTCTGGTAAAGTAAATACCAAGAGAAAATAGTAGTAAAGGAATCTGAGCCTATGTTTCACATACTCAAAAAATTGGAGTCTGATAAGATAAAGAATTTGAATTATGCTGTAAACTTGTATATTACTTTTTGCTATGTTTAAGATTTTAACTGGCATCAGGTCAGGTTATAATTTTGCAGTGTGCATGAGAATTGGAATATTGTTGAAATAGGCTCTCTTCAGTTTTTTTTTCCCCCTACATTTCATAGTCGTTTCTGTTTCCTACTTTTCTGGGTGTGCTTGCAGTCACGAAGTCTGTTTTCAAACTCCTGCTTCCCCACTTTCCTCACCTTATAATTAGATACATGTATTAAACTCTTTGTTTTTCTTAAACTGTCCCTAAATTTATAATTTATTATATTTATGAAAGTTACAGTTTTGTAAAGAGATGTGAAATGATGATATGTAGGCTATGTGCTTAAACAGGGGGTAAAAAAGAAGAAAGAAGAATGAAGGAAGAAAATAGGAAGAAAAGTGATGTGTGGGATATGTCTCCTGTGTATGAAAGAAATGTTTCACTATTTATGAAATCTATCATTATTTGCTGGCAAACGAGGTTCCATGTTTGAATCTTTTTTGGTTTCAGGAAATTGATCAACCTGCATTGATTCCGCATATATCTGAAGCCAGCTCCTTAAAGTATGCTTATGAGGTCCTTTTCCGGAGCTTACACAAGCTGCTTATGGATACTGCAACTTCTGAGTACCTTTTTGCTCTTCTCCTTGATTTTGTTTTCTAGATGTAGTAAATGTCAAGTCTGTTGTATAGTTTTTGACTCTTTTGTTCTCTAATTTGCAGGTATCTTTTCTGTGATGATTTCTTCAGGAAGAATCTATATTTTATGAAATTTTCGCAGGTAAAATTTTATAAATAATAAGGTCAAGATATGCACCAGAAGGTGGCACTACTTGAAGTGAATATAATCAGCTTAATTCCTTGTTGGAGTTGCCAGCAGGTGGCAATTTAATTTCTGCTAGAACTTCTGTGTCAGCCATCACAATTTCAGATTTTAGTAGTACTGGTATTATTGAGACTGGCTTAGGATCAGTTTTGGCTTCTACAATGAAAGAAAGCACAACCAAAGAGGCAAGTACAGATGCTTCTTAGGACACTTTCAAAGTAGCTATTCTCACAGTAAGTGATACAGTTGCATCGGCAACTGGGCCTGATCGAAGGTACTAAATCTGTGTATATGCGTGCTCTCTGTCTCTCTCTCTTTTATTTCCTTTTTTAATGCTTCCTGTGTATATATAGTTATTCATCCATCCAGTTTAGATATGTTAAAAAAGCAAAACAAAGAAAAGGCATCTAGGTACACCTTTTTGACTCAGTAGGTTTAAAAATCTTTATGGATGCTACAGTGATAGAGCAGAGCTGATGTTCTGCCTTATATGAGTTAGATATGGAACATTATATAGCAAACAGTGGATTATTAGAATCTTTATGTCCTTGGATGACTCAATCTTTGGGATCATCTTCTCTAAGGTGTCCTTAATTGGGAATGCAAAGATCATTACCTAAACTTAATAGCATCTGGATACACCTCTTTGAATCATTGTTTCAGAAGGGTCACTTCCTTGATGCCATAGTAAAAAGCCAAGCTGATGTTACTCCTTGTCAAAGTGAAACATGGAAAGTACTAAATGCTATACAACAGTATTCTGGAAATAGTATGGCAATCATCAAGTCATCTTGGTGGTGTTCTTTCTTATTTTTGCTTCTATTGTGCTTGTATTAGAACTTACTTGTGAGCATTGAACTATAAATAATCTGACAACACTTTAGAACTATCCTTTTTTGTAATGCTTGACTATTTGAAGAATTGACCAAACTTGAAATCTTTTTGAAAGCATTAATGACCATTTAACTAAAGGCCTTTGGTTGTGTGAGCCATGGCTGATTAACTGATTCATGAAAAATGTTGTACACTTCTTAAATGTAATATGCTAGACATGCATAGGAGAACGATGCAGAAACTTTGGTTTAGTTCTGAGTGAACAATGGATTTCCACTTAGTTCAAATTATTAGAAAAATAAGAAAAATGTCTTCTACTTTTATTTTTCTGTTTCTGCATTGCATTTTGATAGTAAATGATATTGAACACATTTAATTTTCAATGGGCCTAGAGCTGTTTCTGTTTTAAATTCCTTATCAGAAAGGTTAGGTGGAGCGAGGGTAGTTGCAACAGCTGTAGTCCCAGATGATGTAGGGCAAATCAAAGATGTTATCCAGAGATGGTCTGATATTGACGGAATGGATCTCATCCTTACCCTTGGTAACTTTCAGATTGTATTCAGCTAGTTAAATTCTGTGGGTGAATTTGTTTTTTGGGTTATCCTGACCTTTTCCTTTTCTTTTTTGAATATATTTTGAGCAAGGTGGCACTGGCTTCACCCCAAGAGACGTTACCCCTGAAGCTACAAAAGAGTTGATTCAGAGGGAAGCACCTGGTCTTTTGTGTGTAATGATCTAAGAGAGTTTAAAGGTACCCACAATATCTTTTGGAAATTTATATTAATACATCATAGCTGCTTGTGTAACTATTTGAACTTTTCTACATATGATTATGGCTTGACTGATAAGAGTGTTTTGTAAGTGACTGTGTAACTGTTGTGGAATTGTCACTTTAACATTGAAGTAATTTTGGGAAAGTTAGTAAAAGTTCAAGCAAAATTTATTTGATTCAAATTGCTGACGGTTTAGTCCTTAGCTGTATGCCAACATGCACTCCTTTAATTTACCATGTACTACTGCAAGTTTGAAGTTCAAAATGACTATTTAGATGTGTCTATGTTGTCTTCTTGAATGTCATATCTCCTGTTTGTTTATATTTCAAAGTCTTAACCATTTTTCCAGTTAAGTTTATAAGTATTAATACTTAAATCCGGTAAGAGAAAGTAAAGTTATATATTTGAATTCCAAGTATGGTGCATCTTCTGTTTGGTTCATCTTTCCAGCCCTTAATGTTTAAACTTTTCTTAAAAGTCTAATTTCAATGCCATTTTTTTCCTCATTATCTCAAATTGGGATCATTCAATCAGTTTTCCATGAAAGTTTCTTGGCTTCTATGTGTGCAAATCAGTGGTCGTTACATCCTGACAGTATGCCTATTTTATTTATGTTGATCTAACCAATTTCATGGAAGATTTTCTGCATACTAAGAAATCTTCTTCTGTTGGTGTATTTTGAGTAAGGCCTTTAGCTAAATTCCTGTTTTTTCTGTCCTTCAATGCGCGCGAGGTCAAGACAGGCTGTGAAGCTATACAAAAAGTTGTTGGCAGAGTTATTTTCCCGTAATCAGGTGGATTTATAGCTTGTGTAATGTCACCTGAACTTAGGCTTTGAAAGTATATGAGAATTGCATTGGTTTAATTGGTCTTGGTAATGTATGTATGGGTTAATTTTTAACTTGTTTTGTGTTTCCGAAATGAAGATAGAGTATTGTCCGTAAGATTGGGTTTAAGTTAAGGTTTGGTTTACTGTGATATTTTAGCCATGTTTCTAGTGGTGTTTTGAAACATGTGAAATTTGTTTTCTTATCATAGAAATGTTTCAAAAAAGTGGAAGGTTCATTTTTGCTTCGGCTGCTAGTAGTACAAATAAGGTTACTCAGTTACATCGTTAGAAATCTTGTACATTTTAGAAGAGAACTTGAATGCTGGCAATAGAGACGTCAAGAAATATTGAACTTATCACTTTTAGTATCTGCCCTGCTTTTTACAGAATTTCTTTATGCTTCTGATTCATGCCCCTCCACTCTCAACCTCCTGAAAACAGGAACAATCTTAAAAAGAAAACTGAGGCATTTCATGTGCTTCTTTGTATGCAGGATGCTAAACCAATTGATAGGAAAATTGGTAAGCTTTGTGAATATGCTTCGAAAAACCCATTACGAATTCCCAAGGTATGTTTTATCTTCTGGTTGACCCATTACTTTGCATTTTGATGCATACATAAAACTTCCAAACTGAGCAAATCAGCCATTTTATCTTTTACTTCAGACTATAATGCATTATTCTTTTAAATGTAAAATGGTTACTAAAGCTACTCTTTTCACCAATCCCTTTCCACTTCTGCCAAACTTTTAGTTACTTTTGCCTTATGCTGATTGTGGCTTTTTTTTTTTTTTTTCTTTTAGCCTTCTGTGCTATTCTATAATTGCTATACCATAAATTTATCAAGAATGCAATTTGGCAATTTTTTCTTGATTCTGCTTCTTGTTCTTATTTGTCTTGTTTTCACCATTAAAATTATGCAGGCCATTGTTAAGTTTCCCAAAAATGCAATTTGGCAATTTTGTCTTGATTATTAATTTGAATAATATCTTTACAAATTCTGGGGTTCTTATGAATAAAAAACATGAGGTTTTATTTGGGGAGGCTAAATTTGTCATATTTGTAAAAAAGTCAAGGCATTGTCTTTTTTTTTTTTTTTAGACAATGATCCTTGGGTAGGCGATGGTGATTGAGTGAGTAGGCAAATATCTGTTTAATCCTGACGGGGGACATTCTCTAGGAGATAAACTAACACGAGTGTATGATTTACCTATCTTAGTATTATAACATGCTGGTCATTGTATCTAAGTGTAGGTTATATGAACATCAAGTAAAATATAAGCGATAGACATAAATAACATTACATCAATAAAACACCCGCTAGTGTTGGAATATTTGTGGGCCTATAATGAAACCTCTTGTTCTCAGTTTTTTTATGGATTAAGTGATGCTGTCGGTGCCCTTAGATGCTAGCATCTACTGCCATGTATGTGCTATGATCATGTTTATGGAAAGAATTAGGGTACCAAGAAGCTTGGCAATTTACAGTGGTTCTTATGAATTTAAAACATATGATGAATTAGAATATATACTCAATTTCTATTTATTTTTTATTTTTTTGTGTTCAATTCAATGGTTTATTTCATGTTCTTTTAAATGTTATAAGTCTTGTTTAAATAAAAAAGTTAAACGTGTTTGTTGTCTGTCTTCATTTTGTAACTAAATCTAGGTAATGGTTTGTTGTTGTCTTTTATGTTCTCTTAGTAAAAGTAAATGTCCTTTGTATTTTAAGTGAGCTGATATCCAGTATAAGAGGGAAAGGGACTTTGTTTTCGTTGTGATGAAAAGTTCAGCCCCAATCATCGCTATAAAAGTAAATCATTACAGATTCTGTTGGCTTGGGAAGACGATGACTTTGAGAAGGATGAATCTCCATCGGAAAGTGACGAAAATTCCAACCCGGAAGGTAATGCTTTAGCTTTGTCCATGAATTCCATTGTGGGTATAACTTCGGACAAAACTTTGAAGGTTAAGGGGTAAATTGGGAACACGGATGTGGTGGTGTTGGTTGACAGTGGGGCGTCCCATAATTTTATTTCACATGAGTTGGTGTGTAGGCTTGGCATTTCGGTTGAAAAGGGGAAGTTGTTTGGGGTGATGGTGGGCAATGGGGTCACGGTGAAGGGGGAAGGGGTGTGTCGACAGGTTCCTCTGGAGGTACAAGGGATCCGAATTAGGTAGGATTTCTTTCCTTTTGAGTTAGGAGGTGCTGATGTTGTGTTGGGTGTTACATGGTTGAGTTCTTTAGGAGATGTGTGTGCTGACTGGAAGAAGTGGACCATGAAATTTGAGGTGGATGGGGTCAGAGTTAGTTTACAAGGAGACCCATCTCTAGTGAAGTCAGTGGTTTCCCTTAAATCCATGTTACAATCCATTAATAACACGGGGAGGGTTTCTGGTGGAATGCTGTTCGATTGAGGGAAGTATAATGTCTAAGGGAGAGGATGTCGATCTTAGAGTTCAAGCAATGTTGGATCAGTATATACACCTTTTTGACCAACCATCCAAGCTTCCTCCACATCGTACTCACGACCATGTCATAACCGTTAAAGAAGGTGCCCTAGCCCCTAACATTAGACCCTATAGGTACCCTTATTTAAAAAAAAAAGAAATTGAAAAGTTGGTGGAAGAGATGTTAGCGGCCCGAATTATCCAGTCTAGTACTAGCCCATACGCCAGTTCGGTGTTGTTAGTCCAAAAAAAAAAAAAAAAGACGAAAGTTGGAGGTTTTGCATTGCTACAAGGCCCTCAACGAAATAACAATTCCTGACAAGTTTCCCATTCCTACCATTGAGGAGTTGTTGGATGAGTTGGCGGGGGCGACCATATTCTCTAAGTTGGACATTAGGTCCGGGTACCACCAAATCAGGATCAAAGAAGACGATATTCCCGAAACAACTTTTCGAACACGAGGGGGCACTATGAGTTCCTTGTCATGCCGTTTGGCTTGACCAATGCTCCCTCCACGTTTCAGTCACTAATGAACACCATGGGAAGTTTGTGCTGGTTGTTTTTGACGATATTCTTATCTATAGCCTTGACTTGGAGTCCCACATAATACACCTTCGGCAAGCTCTTCGGATATTGGACGATAATGAATTGGTAGTGAATTTTAAAAAGTGCTAGTTCGGGCAGTAGAAACTTCAATATTTGGGTCACCTAATTTTGGCTAACGGGGTGGAGGCCGACCCCCAGAAAATTACAGCTAAGGTTTCATGGCCAACACCAACTAATGTGAAAAGCCTACGCGGATTTTTGGGACTAAGGGGGTACCACCACAGATTTGTTTAGGGGTATGGAAGCATAGCCCAACCACTCACGAGATTGCTGAAGAAAAACTCTTTTTGTTGGGGTTTGGAAGCCCAACAGGTCTTTGAATCATTGAAGGAGGCTATGACTTCTGTTCCAGTTTTGGCAACTCTTGATTTCAACACTCCTTTTGAGACACACATAGCTGCCTCGGGCCAAGGCATAGGGGCAGTATTAGTTCAACAAGTAAGACCCATAGCTTACTTAAGTAAGGCTTTTTTCGCTAAACAAAAATCGGTCTATGAAAGAGAGTTAATGGCCGTCGTCTTTGCCGTGCACAAATGGAGTCCTTACTTATTGGGTAGAAATGGTAGTCCAAATTAATAGGGTTTTCGTTTGACATCCATTATTGGCCGGGAACCACTAATAAGGTGGCTGACGCATTATCCAGACAAGATGAGGAACCAGAATTGACCTCTCTATCGGTGATCCAGTTTTCGGAGTATGAGGACTTGGCAAATGAAGCCCAACAGGACCCCAAGCTTAAGCACTTGATTCAGGACTTGATTTTGGATCCCAACAGCTGACCCAACTACAAACTTCGTCATGGCTGTTTATTGTACAAAGACAGGTTGGTTTTGCCTACGGGCTCACAGTTTGTTCATAAATTAATAACTGAATTTCATTCTAGTCCATCAGGGGGTCATTCTGGATTCTTTCGAACATACAAAAGGGTTGCAAATGTGGCTTATTGGGTAGGCATTAAGAAGGATGTCCAAGATTTTGTTAAAACTTGCTCCATATGTCAAGTTAACAAGCATTCAACTCTGAAACCTGCGGGGCTACTTCAGCCACTTCCTATTCCATCTTAGGCATTCGATGAATTGACAATGAACTTCATTGGTGGCCTTCCGAGGGCTAAGGGGTTTGATAGCATCCTGGTGGTAGTTGATAGATTGACTAAATATGGCCACTTCCTTCTCATATCACACCCTTATACCGTCGAAGAGGTGGCCTTAGTGTTCATGAAAGAGATTGTGAAACTTCATGGTTTTCCAAAGTCCATTTCTGACAGGGACAGACTTTTCATGAGCCAATTCTGGCGAGAAATCTTTAGAGTTTCGGGGACAACTTTGAAATTTAGCTCTGCTTACCATCCCCAAACGGATGGAGAATCCGAAGTGGTGAATAGGTGCTTAGAGGCATACCTCCATTGTTTCTGCAGTTCACAGTCCCGTCAACGGCTAAATTGGTTGTCTTGGGCTGAGTTTTGGTATAACATGACATATCATCAGTCAATCAAGATGACACCCTTCAAAGCCTTATACAGTCGTGACCCTCCGACTCTTCTTAAGTTCACCGATTATCCCTCCCAGGTGGACGATGCGAACCACCAGATTCGTGAGCGCAATGCCATCCTTCAAGAACTCAAACACAACATGGAAATGGCACAAGTTCACATGAAAGAACAGGTAGACCGCCACCGACGGGATATCCAATTTTCTCTAGGTGATCATGTTTACCTTAGGCTCCAGCCCTACAAATTTAAGTCCCTGGCCACATGGTTGAATGAAAAACTTAGCCCCAGGTTTTATGGACCTTTCCAAGTACTGGAGAAAATCGGTCAGGTTGCCTACAAGTTGGAACTTCCCACTACAGCTCGTATTCATCCAGTTTTTCATGTGTCCCAGCTGAAGCACAACCTGCATAGCTCAGTACCCTTTCAACCTCTACCCTCTTTTCTTACAGACGACTTGGAACTTCTGGTTCAACCTGCGAAAGTCCTGGATGTGCGCACCCTTATTGATGGTTGCACAGAAGTTCTCATCCGTTGGCACGATCTGCCTTCCTTTGATGCTACCTAGGAATCCTTTGATGTAATCAGCAGCCAATTTCCTCACTTCCACCTTGAGGACAAGGTGGCTCTTGGTATTGTTAGACCACCCATACGCAAGGTTTATAAATCAAAAGCCAGGGGTAGGAATAGGCATTAAGGTGCAATGAGGGTGACGTGACAGTAAATGTGGAGAGTGTGGTGAGTTTGTTAGGAGTGTGGAGAGTGGTTATAAGAAAGTACACGTGGCTGATAAGTGGTTATAGAATATAATAATTAGTATATAGAGAGTAGAGTGTGAGGCAGGTCATTTTTATCAAGGAATATCTTGTTAGGACTGATTGGGAGGCCCCCAACTCCTCGAACTGTTGGGAACTTGTTCTTGAATGAATTTGCTCTGTGATAAAGTGAGCTTAGGTAGAACTCACTCCCAAAAGCTAGCTCAAGGAAGGAGGGAGCCCGATCACTTATATACATCATAACAGCCCCCTATTGGGGTGATGTGGGACAAATTCAACTTCTAACACCCTCCCTCACGCTCGGCGTGCAAGGTCGGGGTCCAAACCCATCATCGCCCCAACCAAAGAGGAGAGAGAAACAAACGTGGCTCTGATACCATTTGATAGGAACCCACTCCAATAACTCAATAGTTTGGGTTGGGCCATGGGTCTTTCATGGGCTTGGGTAGAACTCTCCTTGGAAAACCGGCTTGCCAAGGGAGGGTGCCTAGGCCTTTATAACCCACATGCCCACCCTTTTCCTTTTCAATGTGGGATCCTAACATTCTCTCATGCTTCGAGACCCAACACCCTCGTTGCTCTTCTTTCCAAAGAGCGCCTGCCCTTATCGGCTACCCCGCACTCATCGGAGTGAGTTCTACTCAAGCCCACTTTATCATGGTATCAGAGCCACGTTTATTTCTCTCACCTTTTTGGTTGGGGTGACGATGGACACTGAACGTGAGAGAGGGTGTTAGAAGTTGAATTTGTCTCACATCGCCCCAATAGTGAGCTGTTATGGTGTATATAAGTTATTGGGCTCCCTCCTCCCTTGAGCTACCTTTTGGGAGTGAGTTCTACCCAAACCCACTTTATCACTCTGTCAAGGGATAATTCAATCCTGATTAATACTATTTTAATTCCTTTCAGATTGTGCATATTTTTGTTATTGTGTTGTGTTGCGGCTGTGGTTTGCTTTGTTTTTCAGGGGAGTTCCATCAGAAGTATATCTCTTATTTGTCTGTTTTTACAGATATACCATCATGTCGTCACTTATTCTTAATTGCTTACTTTTTGTCATGTGGAAATTTGTAATTATTTTCCATCAGGAATGATTTTTATTTTGGACAGTTATCATAAATTTTTAGTCTACTGCCATCAGTTTGGAATCATTTAAAAGAGTCATGTAATATTGAATTTGATTTCTGTTTAATCAGTATCTCAGGAAGGATTGCATTTATCTTGTCAATCTGAAATGATACGAAACAGTATTGGGTTCGGGCTCCTGAAATGATCTGGTAATCATTATAAGCCGGCTGGATATCAGTGATTTGCTACTTAATTTTGGTACTTAACTAAATCTTCTCTCTTTTGTTTTCTGATATTGTTGTCATTCTGTATGCTGAAGTGTGTATTCTCAATCACTTTATATTTGTTTCCATAGCAAAATCTTCTCTTTTTTTTCTTATATTGGTGCTATTCGGTACATTGAAGTATGTTTCTTATGCCACTGTATTTGTGTTACAGTGGAGAAAATGTTTGAAGCTCAGTTGCGAAACTGCAGTTGAAAAGATTACTTTAGATGATGTATGGGTTTTGCATATCATGCTGAGTGCAACAGTTCATGATGTGTTATACTACATGAGCCCCATCTACTGTCAGGATATTATCAACTCGGTACTGTTTATCTTGTTTCCAATTTCTCACCTTCTCTTCTTTCATTTCTATTTCCCAATGACTAAGCTGTTTCATTATTCAACTATAAAGCTTCTTTCAATCCCGGTTCCTTGTTTAAAATGACATTTTGCTGCACAGGTTCATGATAGTCTTTCTAAAGCTTTAGACCATAATTAGATGGGTTGTTTTGTAGTAGTGGATACCTGATCCACTATCTAAGTTTTGCCAAAGTAGTATACGTCTAAGTTTCCTATCAAAAAAAGTTTTAAAATTGCTTCTCATCCTATGCACACTAAACTGGAACATTGGTCTGTTGGAGATATCTTGAGCATAGACGGTCACATCTTGAACATAGACAGCCAAAGCAACCCATTTCTGAAAAGCTTGAACCTATGCTAGATGATGAACCAAAGAGTTATACCCCTTATATTAAGTATCCAAAGCTCGAATTCAAGGTCAGAAACGGAACTTCTTACGAGCTATAAATTTAAGATGGTGAATCTTGTTACTGATTTGAGATTAGTTCTTACATATCAGGTTCACACATTCTTTGCTGTTGGATCACATCTTGGTGTCTTCCTTGCCCTCCGAAATGTCCATATTGGAATAGGTAATCCTCAATACACTTGTATGATTGAAATTTTGATGAGTGAATATTCTCACTGTTGCGACATGACATTCAGAGAAGTATTTTGTATATTTGTAAATATTTATATCATTTGGCCGTGGGTGTGGATAATGAAGTAGACTTTTGTTCCTCACGGTTTTGAGAAATGCTTTCATCTTTAGAATCTCATTAGATCTTTATTGAAGTTTAAAGGTTTTCACGTTTTCGTTATTGGACTTGATTTTACATCAATTTGAGTGGGAAATTCAGGATAAATTATGATTAGTTAGAAGAATTTCTTTTCATTACTTTGCTGGTAACTTTGGCAGTTTTTGTTATTAGCAATTGTATGTTTTTTTGGAAGCTCATAGATATGTAATATGTAATAAATTCTTGTGTATTTTGATGCTAGTTCAGGCAATCATGCATTTTCAACACAAAAAATTCGTATTTTCAACCATCCTCTAAACATCTTCATCTTTTGTTGATTTTAATTTTAGTTTCTGCTTTTTTCTTCGGAACTTCTATTATACTTGGTACCACACTTGAAGCTCTAGAAATCCAGTTTTTTTGTTGTTTTTTCCTTCTCTGTGCAGGAAAAGGGCAAGATTATATGGATGAAGAAAATATAATTGAAGAGATGCTGGTTTGTCGTCAAATGTTCAACATTTTTCACCCATATGATCCTGTAGCATATAGGTTTGTCTTTGCACATCCATATCAATGCTACAGTATGCTCTATTTATTTTTTTTTGACCTTTTAAGTGGTGGGACTGTATTTCGCCATAAAATGCTGCAATAATGGCATGTCAATTATTATTTGAAACACCTCACCGACCCTGTGAATGCCTGTGAATGCAATGAGGAATCATTTTATTTAACGTTTCGAAATCACCTTTGGTTTTTGCTAAGCAAAGAGAAGTAATAATGGGAATTATATGATAGATTTTGACTATTTAACTTTTCTTTGTGAATAAAATTGTTCTTTTTTGTTTATACATCTTAACTGGGAAGAGGTTTTGGGTTAATATTTATAATTTGGTTTCATTTGGCCAGGACAAGGAAAATTATCACTACCTAGTTTTTATTTTCTTCTCTTGCATAGATTTGTTACCCCCACCCTGATTTTTTTGTTCTTTTGTTGGCAGCTTGTCCACCAGTGTAACTCATGTTGTTCCAATACATATTATCAGTTTCTTATAAGAAAAATCACCATCTGTTTATTCGGACTTTTTTTGTATATGTGAACAAAGTTTAATGAGAAACTTGATGTGAACATTTTAAATGTCTATTAGGTAATAGTAAAGGTAGAATAAACAAAAATCAAGAATATTGGAAAAAAGAGTTTAGTCTTTTGCTATTTCTCCCTGTTTCTTCTCTCTCTCTCTTTGCTCTCTTACAAGTTTATGGTTTTTTCTTCCTAATGTCCCACCTCTGCTGACATCCTCTTGTTAAATCAAATTAAAAAATATTTATTTGGTTCAAAGTTTGCACTTTCGGGTATTTTATTAAATGCCACAAAGTCTTGCACAAGGTGAAAAAAATCCAGTAACTCATGTTGCACGTGCGTTTGCACATTTCTTGACTCAGAACAAAACCAATGTGACTATGATTATTTTTGAATGCTTTATTTTCTTGTGAATGACATGTATGGTTTTATATGTTTTTTTCTTTTCTATTTTTGTCTTTAATATTTTATAAATCTGGAAAGTATTAAGGATGTTGTGTTGTGGTTTCTTACACAGAGTAGAACCACTTGTTTGTAAAGAGTTCCTCACCGTATGTCCAGTTATTATCCCTTACCATAGAGGTGGAAAGAGGCTGCATATATGGGTTCCAGGTAAGCTCCCTTTAGCACCACACAATTAAGATTTTAAAATTTTTCCTCTTTCTCTCTTTGTGGAGCATTTTATGTTTAAAAGAAATTTTCCCACTTTCTAATGCATCCTTATATATGTGAGTTAGGAATTTACTTAAGATGTAGCTACTCGTTCTCAGGCAATAGTGGACCAATTCAACTCTGTATGGGTGGGTTCTGATACTATTCATTGTTTGTTTCTCTTTTCAACTTCTTCAAAGGCATATTTCTTTTTTATTTTTCAGTTTTTGGGCTTATCTTGTTTCTTTACACTTACTATGGTGGTCAGGCTTTTTCATTTCTCAACTTTGTAATATAGACTATGCTACATGTTTATGAACTGAGCTTTATTGGATTATGCTTTCGCTCTCCTGCTCAGACTAATTAATAATGTCAATATATACATACATAGCGAATATACAATGACCAGTTTGAATTTAGAGTTAAGTATTGTATTTGCTTCAGAATCAAGACTCATTTTTGTTCTTTATATCTCCCTCAGAAGTTAAAATTCTGTTTCTGAGAATAACTTTTATGATGATTAAATTCATCAGAGGTTCAACTTTGTTTGTTGAAGCTCTTTTTTTACTTAACCCAGACTGATCATACTTGTCAGTGTCATTTTTTTCCCCTCAATTTGAACTAAATATTATGTATGTATCTAAGGGTGGTTTTTTTTTTAGCTCATTGTTGGAGAATTTAATTTTGTTGAAATTCCAACTCGGTAGCTATTCATTTATATAGTTTCTATGTATATATAACATCGATGTATCAATTTAATATTAGTTGACCTTTAGTTCTTAAGTTTACCCAGAATTATCATGTACATGTTTTGGTCTTTGGTTTCTGATCATGTGTGAGTATTGAAGCTCTGAGTTTTATGCTATTGAAATAGGCTAAAGTACTTACAGTTTGTCAATCGAGAAATGCAGATGCCCTAGAAGTTAATGTGATCTTCTACTGCCATTGTTTTAGTGCTTTTCTGTTTCTTCATGTTGTCCTCCTTTTGCACATATGAGTAACAATGGCTGAAGGGACCCACCATTCTTGTACTTAGGGTTCCCCTCCATTGTTCAGTAGTAAAAAAGATAATATTAATAGTAAACAACAAAGCCCTGATCCCATAAATGAAATTTCACTTAATCTATGTTGATTTCTTTTACATATTTTTTGAATGCACTAAACAATCTTTTTGTGCATATTGCAGTGGCAGAAAATGCCGAAGAAAGAGAAGAAAGATCATATGGTGTTATAATGATGAAGAGGCTAACTGGAAGTGCAGAAGGACGGGTAGATCACATGCTTCAGGTTTGTAGTGCAGTTCGATGCTTGCATTTACTGCTATATCATGTTATTGCTAATTTTTGAGTGTCTATACCACTGTTATTCAGGCTTTTAAGTTGATACCTACTACCCTCTATTGATGCCTATAATTAGTCATAAATTTGACCCATCATTTTCCCTCCTGAAGGTCCTAATGTTTAAAAATATTGATTAGCCCTTTTGAAGAGTTTATAATCTTAGTTTAAGGATGTCTTCCCTTCACAAAATTTAGAAGAAAAGAAACGAGTTTATAAAGGCAACTAATTGCAATACTGTTGTCCTGTGAAACTATATCTCAGGAGCTTTCTAAATTCCTATGTATTAAGGTAACTACTTGCAATACTTGCAATACTGTTGTCCTGTGAAACTATATCTCAGGAGCTTTTTAAATTCCTATGTATTGTTATCATCAGAATGTCATAGCTCCACTGTCGTAGATGAATTATGTATCTGAAGCCCCTGGGAGTTATTTTGATGGGCTATGAGGGTATTGGGATTTGGGAATGCCGGTGTCTTATTGTTTGTCAGTCCTTAGCTTCGTAGCCTCTGCTACCATCAATTTGCAAAATACCATGTGAACATAAATATTTGCCAATTGCCATGAGAAGAATGTTCAAATGGTGATGGACACAGTATAAGATGCTTGTTAAATACATCGAGGATATGGAGTTTCCACTATTGAACATTTTGCCTAAATGGTTCATTGTTTATTAATAATAGACATGATATTTTACTTTTGTTTTACATATTGTCACTGCTAGATCATTTGTGGACTTCTTCTAATGTTCATATTGATAATGTAGGATAAAACATTTGAACATCCTTATTTACAAGCCATTGGATTGCATACGTAAGTACTTTCTACGCTGAACCAAAATATTTTATCGTTATAGACTACTAGGCTGTATTCAGTCTTCTTATATAGTTCACTGAATGGGGATTTATATATTTTTTTTCCAACTCCCCAATCTCATAACATTTTATACTTGTCACTTGGTGGAAGCAAGATAAAATTTAGCTCTTAAGACAACACCTCGAGAATTAACAGCTAAGCTAATTGGCCGTGAAGCAGCTGCACTCTGTTGCATCTGGATGGCATATGAATTTGCATTGTGACCATCACATGGTCTTGAAGGCTTCTTTAAACAAGGAGCATAAAAATTGTTTTTCATTAGAAAGCAGAAAAACTACCCTTTCTACTTTATGTGCTTGCATTGTGTTAATCATACGAACTCATTAACCTTGCTTCTTATTAGCATTCATGTATAATTATTTTGTATGTTTGAAGAAGAAAGTAACCCTGGGTAGAATAATTAAACCAATTGAGCTTAAACGTTTTTAAAACAACAGCACTTAACCCTATCTGTTTATAGCTTAATACTATATGGCTGTGTAGCTTCAGTTTTCATGTGATATTGCTTAATTTTTCAGAGTACATGTGCTTTTGCATGTGTAATATATATTTTTTATATAATTTGAGTCTCTGTGTACAGAAATTATTGGAGGGATTACGACACCACCCTTTTCATATTGAAACACTTGTATCGAGATATACTCGAAGACCTGCATCTTCAAGTAAAGGCAACTCAAAGACCGGGAGTGCTTCCATCGGTTGGTCTGATCAAAGAGAAACAGTAGAAGAAGAACTTCCTCTGACATTCTCCGACAGAATGATGGTTAGAAACTTCTCATTGAATAAATTAAAAATAATTTCACAATTTTTGTTTCTAACATCTAAAGTCCCAACACAGGATAGGACGCCTTCTCTCCCTCTTATTTTTATTGCCGGAGGTACACATTTTCTTTGAAATTTAAGATTAATTTTTGTTTATTTTATTCATAGTTTTATCAATCCGTAGTTGCTTTTTTTTTTTTTCCCATCTAATCAATGCTCGCTATTCCTTGAACACCATTCAATTTTTGCCAAATATTAAACAAACTGGTTTCTGGGTTTTGTTTAAATTCTTCCATTGTGTATTTCTTATGAATTTTGTGTCTGTAAATGGGTTTTAAAATTTTTTAACATCTCGTGTTCTTTTCAAAATGTTCACCATCTGTTTGTGGAATAACTTCAATGAAACTTTGAATGTATTTATCTTTGGTAAAGGAATGAAAAAGCTCAGTTCAATCCCTGTGAATTGATTTTTTTTATTTTTAATTTTATGTATTAGCGTATCTGATTATTTATGATTTGTAATGTGACTACAACTTAATTCATTTTGTTTTAACTTGATTCTACTTGATGTTTTGATGGTTTGCAAGCTGTGAGGCTTAGGTTGGTCAGTCAAGTATGTTGTGTTTGTTTTGTTATTTTGGTGGTGTATACTTTCTTGATGTTTTCTTGGATTATAGTTTATCTATGTGCAATTGTCTTGGTTAGGATCTTGTGAGAAATGCTGTTGGTTATTGCTTTAACATAAAAGGGTAGTAGCAGGCAGTATCAATACCTGCAATCTAGACTCTTGGATCGTGGACTAAGGGTTGATTGAATGATGATCTAAAGGTCTGGGCAGGGGGCGATTTTACCTTGCAGTAGCATAAATTAATCGTGGTTTGACGAATTTTATGCATGTCTTCTTTTGTATGATCGTATGTGCATCTTGAAATATTTAATTTTCATGTTTGTTTGCGAAACTAGGATTGTGTTTGTGGTCTTAAAATATCTTCTAACTTACTGATGAATTTGTAGATATGTTGCTACTTCTGGCTATATTTTTTGTTTCATGCTATAATTTCTGTCACTACTTGTCAAATCATTCATTTTCCCAGGCTTTGCAAGACTTGTTTTGTTACTATATTTATTTTTTCAACTTTTTCTGTTTAGAAGATTTTTCGGTTTTGCTTACGAAGCTTATCATTTTTTGTTGTTCCAGAGTAGAAGGAAATAGCATAATAGCTTGCTTTTATTCTTCAAATGTACTTTTGATAAGAAAACTTTCATCACTAAACTTAACAAGAAGATGCAATGGGTGTAGAGGAAAGTACTTGTGGTCTATACAGAGGGTTTATGCTATTTCCTTCCAGAGTAGAAGGAAATAGCATAATAGCTTGCTTTTATTCTTCAAATGTACTTTTGATAAGAAAACTTTCATCACTAAACTTAACAAGAAGATGCAATGGGTGTAGAGGAAAGTACTTGTGGTCTATACAGAGGGTTTATGCTATTTCCTTCCAGAGTAGAAGGAAATAGCATAATAGCTTGCTTTTATTCTTCAAATGTACTTTTGATAAGAAAACTTTCATCACTAAACTTAACAAGAAGATGCAATGGGTGCAGAAGAAAGTACTTGTGGTCTATACAGAGGGTTTCTGCGAGCAGCTGGTTCCAAATCTCCCGAAGATCGGCACCAGATTGAATCAATAGTATCAACTAGGTTTCGCCAGAATTCCAAGCAAGTAAATCGAAAAAATTTCATTTACATTGAATACTTCACGGTGGTAAAAAACAACTTGAGCAACTCGAGCCCAGATACTGTCAGATTATCATCATTGATTTTTTTAGCTTTTTTTTTTTTTCTATATTTTATATTATTTTAGTTTTTTTGCATTGATGAGTAACATTGTATGATTAAACTATAAAGTTTTGTATGAGGATATATGATAAAAAGAGTTTGAGAATATTAAAGATTAATAAAAATATATAAAATGATGACTTGATAATTTGGTGGGTGTGGTCACACTTTGAGTACAATAATTTAATTTAATGTAGTTTATACATATATTTGAATGATGGTCCAAAAATAATATGAGTGACTTATTTTATTAATTTAATTTGTTTAAAGATACTTTTAAATGATTTGATTACTTTGATAAGTTAATTAATTAAACAAAGGCCTTGAGAATAAATTATGGGAGAGGGATTTAGTAAAATTAATTAGGAGAAAGGTTTTTACAATAAATAAAGAAAAAGATTTAAGAAATATGAGAGCGATAATATATATAAATTAATTTATATATATGTAATTTCCAATGATTCTTATTTTGACCATTAAATTTTTTTTTTTTTTCACCTGGGTGTTCAACATCTTAACTAATTTATTAAAACCTGAAATTTTTGACAGGGTAAAGTGTTCACCTCTATTAGTATTTTTTTACCATTAGACCCACTAAGTGTTGTTTTTCTTTAATCTAGAGGACATAAACTTGTGTTAAATAAGAGGGGTTGCGAAACCTTCCCATATATATATATATATATTGTTCAATAGCTTATAAATTGTGTTATATTTTGTGTAAAAAAGAAAGGGGTTGCCGAATTCTTAACTGTGGGAATTTCGTAACAAGTAAAAGATCAGTGAAACTATGTCTTCCTATTAAATTAATCTCATTACAACTACAACCATCCGTAAAACATTAAACATCAAATGTGTTCATGTGGTTAAACATCACAACTCTCCTGTAATCTCAAATGAAAAATAAAGCATAATTTATTTTTTATTTTTTATCGTCATATTATGCCTTGACCAACATCTCAACCCTTATTCCATATAACAATACAAATTAACTGCAACTTCCTTCACCATTTTCATCACCAGACTTATTCTCTCTGGCAGACGATTTTGCTCGGAATAACCTGACACTAGCCCACAGAAGACCAAGAATGATAGTATTTTTAAGGACATGTACACTCGCACCTTTGTAAAGAGACCTAACACCCTCTGTTTTCAGGATTTGAGAAAATGCATGCAATTAACTCTTGTACTTGATAGCTTCTCATCATCATTTTACAATGTAAAGTATCCAATGGGTATGTTACCAACTGAACAAAAGTTTGAATCCCATTTATGAGTACTGGAGTATGCCACGATGAATCATACTGCAAAAGAAAGATAGTCTTAATTATGTAAGACGAACAAATAGTATCAATTATATGTACCTACGTACATTTATTTTCATGTTCCTACTAACCTGCAACCCAAGTAATTCGAGCAGTCGTGGGATTCTTTGAAGATTGATTCCTAGTAAGAGTGCTTCATTCAACAAAATCTTGACATACGAAACATTATAACCACGGTAAAGTCCAACAAAGCCATCAGTTCTAATGGTTTTCTTGAAAATATCAATTAAACCATTGAATTGCTTTTGCTGACCTTGCAGACTTACTATATATCATATCAATTGCTAGACGTGTATGAGCATATCTCAGGGGATAAAGAATATAAAGAGATGCACCTACTGATAAACTGATTGTTGCGACCAATCTCTTCAGGTAGTCACTTTTGTCTGGCTTATGCTTCAAAGGTCACTCCAAATAAGATTCCGTAGCGGTGTTTTGAGCTTGTTTTTACATTTAATTTTAAAATATCAGGCCAGGATTCAGTGACATTAACCAATCAACAACGAATCTTTTTGCAAGCTCATGATTTCAAAATCGGGCAGATGCTACGTTAATGATTCAATATGAAGACAAATGAGATTAAAAGATAGGAATTCAAGGATATGTATAGTGTTGCCCCTCCAAAAAGAAATGACACCTTCATTTCTCAATGTTATAAGAAAGCAATCACCAATTCCCTTATAAGGATGGGATAATCGACTGATTTTTATAATCTCATTCTGGCACTGGATCAAGAGTTTCAATCGCTCAATTAGGGCAGTTGCCATCCTATTGAGAAGCCCCATCTTTATGATAAAATCATCGTTGCCTTTCTCTTATGGGACTTCTAAAAAACCTGTTGACATTATTGGTGTTATAGAAGAGATGAAGCACTACCTTTACATGCTTGATTTAGAATGGGTAAACTCCCCTTAACATAAGCAAATGCACCACAAATTTTTTTATCAAACTTCAAGCATTCCATAAAAACTCAAAGAAAAATGATGAGACCATGCAAAATCTGTTCCACTTTTTCAAAATATCTGAAAAAGGAACACAGAGGAGAAAAAAGTAAAAACAATGGAAAATAACATAAACATGAATCACCTTAAATCGCGTAAACAATAAAGCAATGTTATAAGTGTGAGCCATAGCCTCAAAATTTTGCAGGGTTATTTTCTGTAGATGTTGCTTGAACCCAGATTGATGAAAGCAAAAGACTCACTTGATGGCTACTCAGTCGGAAGGAAGTTATCTGCGGAAAATAATTTAGATAGGTAGATGATTAAACATAATTACTAAAACACTCTTTAAATTAAAATTATAGGATTTTGGGGTTTCATACTGTTTTTCTATTAGTCAGAGCACACATAAAGCTATATGACTGACTATGAGAGTGTTTCGCATCACATCTGGTACCCGACTTTCCTCCTATAGTCCTCAATCCATTAGTTTTTCTTTTTCTTTACCTTCATCTTGAAAGGAGAAACTTCCACTTCTTACTTTCTATGACGCAGAGACTGGCAAGATGCTAGAAACAGCTTGTAAAGTATCCTTGCCCTGATCTGACCCCAAGGGGAGACTCGAGATGGCATTAGCACAACATAAACTACACTATGCGCCCCAACTCAGGTTTCATGGTCTGGATGAGCCATTGCTAGGAGTAGACCTGGCAAACAGGCGGGTATGGTCCGGGTAGCAACGGGTCGCGGGTGGAACGGGTCACGGGTTAACGGGTGAAAAATTCTCACAGGTCGACATTTTTATGATTCGTACCTGCCCGTGCGGGTACGGGTCACCTGCGGGTCACCCGTGAAAATGGAAGCAGCCTTTTACATTTTTCATATTTTTTACTGTTTTCCATATTTTTGTTATTTTTTACTGTTTTTTTGTTATTCAAAATTTCAAATTACATACTAAATTATATTAATTTAAAAACTTGATATAAAATTCATTTATTAAACTTATTAGTTATTAACTTATTATATTAAATAAATGGATGATTAAATTAAATTTGATTAGATTTCACCAACATTATTAATTCAATATTAATATTTTTCATATTTATATCAAACTCCACCATATAGATAATAGAATTAATAAACCCTAAACATACATAGTAATTACTAATTAGTAAACACTAAACATATAAAATTGTTTAACATTCAACATACATAACATAGTAAACACTAAANTATTTCGCAGCAGATATAAGTACCAAAAACCAATTAAATTACAACAGTCTGCATAAATAGATTTTAAGCATCATAAGAAAGAAGAAATTATAAAAAGAAACTTAAAAGAACTGGCCATAAAGATTAACTTGCATTAAGTCTGATTGTATGTGTATCTAAATGTGCATTACAAAGCTAGGTAAATAAACTGTACCATGTTATAGAGAGCTTGCATTCCAGCAGGAATGTGCATTAAGTCTGTGCATTCACAAAGTAATACACTAGGTAAATAAACTGTACCACGTTTGCGAGAGTTTGCATTCCAGCTGAACGTAGGCGTAGAGCTCTTTCATCATCTCCCACTTCTTGAGCCAATTGACAAAGTTTAGGAATAAGACCTCCTAAGTTGAACATGCATGTACTATCCATCTACTCTCAATTCAATAAGTCATTATTAGTTCATAAACATAATAAATATCATGTTTATAGTTTCTACTATTTGGTAGATGTAATTTAGTGCCTTCAAATGAATTATCCTACACTGAGCACATCAAACGTATTTAACAGGTTTCAAGCCATCACATTTTTGAGCACCCCATCATTGCTCCCACTCCTTGTAAAATGTAACTAAAAAGTTTATTGATGGGATGGCAGGTTATTTTCAAATGTCTTTTATTAGTGCGCTCCCTAATCTAACATGCATTACTTGAGCAATCAAGCTGAAATATGTCAAAATTAATCTCATGGCTCTAACTTCACTTTATATCCATTGCGCACCTGACCATTTAATAAAATCAACAAGAATACTGCAAGCCAGAATCCGCATTTCGTCCTGTCGAGTTTGCTCCAAAAGAGTCCGAACAATCCCTAATAAACTACTGGCAAATAATGGCCTGCAAGAACAGTGAACTCTAGCAAATGTCCTCATAATGAAGAAAGAGTTTGCATATTCAAATAGGACAGAAAAATTGCAGAAATAAAACAATGATGCAATATAACTGTGAAATCAAGCAACAAAAGAATAAACAATGAATTTATAAGATATCATAAATATCAAAGTTCCTTCCACATATTTAAGGAAGAGAAGAACTATAAAAGACTCCCTACACTTATAATAAAATGTACATTCAATTGTTGTGACTTGTATTATAATGCTTCCTTCTGTTCTTAGATCCAGTCCATATCTAAGAAGGGAAAAAAAAAAAAAAACTAAGAAAGAGAAAACAAAGCAATAGAAATAATGATAGTGCCTAAAGAAAATAGAGAAAAAGAGCAATTCGTAAATCCCAGAACCATACTTTTTTACTTACATACCAGATACAAGCAAGAAATGTAAACATACTAGAAGTAAATCAATATATTCTTTTTTGGCTAAGGAACTATAAAATTACACTAATATGTGCACCTGGTGTCCACTAAATNACAAAGGGCCTGTTGACAAGTAGAAGAAGTGACAAACAATGTGGTCCAGAATGGTAATGCAGAGAACCAGCTTGCTACTAGAAGCAGATTTCATGTTCAATCAATGTCTCCCGCAAGCAGGAAAAAGTGATGCCACACCCACATTCTTAAACAAGGAATGCAAGTCCAAAGCCAAAAATTATTCTTATTCACAAGTAGAAGAAGTGACAGACAATGTGGGCCTGTTAGATTTTAATTAAAATTGATTAGGTCTTTATTATCTCCCATGTAAGGACTAGAAGTGTAGGACTTGGACTACTATGTACGTAACCTTACCAAATCCATACTTCAGCAATCACGTTAAGTCCTCTCATCAAATGCCTTAGAGAAGTTTAAAAGTAAGAAAAAGTAAAGGACTACAAAATAAGTGTACACAGCTAAAAAATGGTTATGGCATTTAGCAGCAGATATAAGTACCAAAAACCAATTAAATTACAACAGTCTACATAAAATTATTTTAAATTACAACAGTCTGCATAAATAGATTTTAGGCATCATAAGAAAGAAGAATTTATAAAAAGAAACTTAACAGAATTGGCCATAAAGATTAACGTGCATTAAGTCTGATTGTATGTGTATCTAAATGTGCATTTACAAAGCTAGGTAAATAAACTGTACCATGTTAGAGATAGCTTGCATTCCAGCAGGAATGTGCATTAAGTCCGTGCATTCACAAAGTAATACACTAGGTAAATAAACTGTACCATGTTTGCGAGAGCTTGCATTCCAGCTGAACGTAGGCGTAGAGCTCTTTCATCATCTCCCACTTCTTGAGCCAATTGACAAAGTTTAGGAATGAGACCTTCTAAGTTGAACATGTATGTACTATCCATCTACTTTCAATTAAATAAGTTCGTATCGTTTCATAAAGAAAATAAATATCATGTGCACAGTTTCTACTATTTGGTAGATGTAATTTAGTACCTACAAATGAATTATTCTACACTGAGCACATCAAACATATTTAACAGATTTCAAGCCGTCACATTTTTGGAGAGCCCCATCACCACTCCCACTCCTTGTAAAATGTAACTAAAAAGACTCCCTACACTTATAGTAAAAAGTACACTCAATTGTTGTAACTTGTATTATAATGCTTCCCTCTGTTCTTAGATCCAGTCCATATCTTAGAAGAAAAAAAAAAAACACTAAGAAAGAGAAAACAAAACAATAGAGAGAATGACAATGCCTAAAAGAAAATAGAGAAAAAGAGCAATTCATAAATCCAAGAAACATACTTTGATACTTACATACCAGATACAAGCAAGAAATGTAAACATACTAGAAGTAAAATCAATGTATTATTTTATGGATAAGGAACAATAAAATTACACTAATATGTGCACCAGGTGTCCGCTAAACCAGCACAAAAAACCTGATAGGGGTATCAAAAGCTAAACAAAATCTAGAATAAATTTGTGATTTTAAATCTAATTTTAGAGCTGGTACACCAAATATAGTACGTCTAGGAAATCCACTAGCCACAAATAAAAAGGGAAGATGTACTCTTAATACCATATAATAAACATTATCATAGGTGACAATAACATATCTTCAGTATATTTAGTTTCCTACATGAGCTTGCTTTCAATCTTCTTGCCCTCTTCTAACAAGGATATTAAATCTTTCATTATGCCTTCAGAGAAAGTATAATCATTGACATTAAAGAAACACAAACATAAAAGCAGCAGCCTTCAAAATGGAGTAATGTTTAAAGCAAGAAGTTCATAATAATATTTTCATGTTTCTTGACAATAAAAACATATACATTTTTTTAAGCCAGGTAAAAGTACATTCCTTGGTAACTAAACATGTAAATAATAGGCACAATTAGACACAAGTCATGTTGTATCCATTAGCGTCTACAACACCAATTTTTTAATTCAAGGAGTATTATGCAAATCATAGATAGCATTTCTTTTTTTTTTTTTTGTTCCAGGAAACAACAAATTTTGTATTATGAAAAAATAACAAACAAAATAACGAACAAGCTGACCAACAAAAGAAGGACAAGCTGTCCTAAAGTTTCAAAAACTATAGAAAAGTCAGCTCAAATCTATTGACATATGAAACCCTAACCTAGAAATCAAGAAAAACCTTTTCCAATTAGGTTTTTGAAGCTCCCAACTTTGAAGAATAAAGAACAATGAAAGATTAAGAATAGAAAAGAAAAATACATCACACTTACTTCTGCTCCTTACATGACCATAAGAATTTCTTAGAGATGCAGGCCACAACCTTTACAGATCCAAAGTTCTCTTTCCGTAAATCCTTGTAACATCTTTGCTCAAGCCAATTAGTAATATGTGCAGACAAGATACTGAAAGATTAAGAATAGAACTGGATAGTTAAATCGAAACAAAACCATATACTGTGAGATAATTTTGGATCCAGATGTTGTTTAGATCTCAAACCAGGTCAGTATTCTCAGCATAATTAACAGCACTCACTATAATTTTTTATTCATTTGGATGAAACTGGAACCAGAATCACTTGTGAGAACGAAATTTGAATTCTTGATAAATTTATGGTATAGCAGTTATAGAATAGCACAGAAGGCTAAAAAAAAAAAAAAGGCCACAAACAACACAAGGCAAAAGTAACTAAAAGTTTGGCAGAAGTGGAAAGGGATTGGTGAAAAGAGTAGCTTTAGTAACCATTTTACTTTTGAAAAAAAATTGCATTTCAGTCTCAAGTAAAAGATAAAATGGCTGATTTGCTCAGTTTGGAAGTTTTATGTATGCATCAAAATGCAAAGTAATGGGTCAACCAGAAGATAAAACATACCTTGGGAATTCGTAATGGGTTTTTCAAGCCAATTCACAAAGCTTACCATTTTTTCTATCATTTGGTTCAGCATCCTGCCCACAAATAAGCACATGAAATGCCTCAGTTTTCTTTTTAAGATTGTTCCTGTTTTCAGGAGATTGAGAGTGGAGGGGTGTGAATCAGAAGCCATAAAGAAATTCTGTAAAAAGCAGGGTAGATACTAAAAGTGATAAGCTCGATATTTCTTGACATCTCTATTGCCAGCATTCAAGTTCTCTTCTAAAATGTACAAGATTTCTAATGACGTAACTGAGTAACCTTATTTGTACTGCTAGCAGCCGAAGCAACAATAAACCTTCCACTTTTTTGAAACGTTTCTATGATACGAAAACAAATTTCACATGTTTCAAAACACTGCTAGAAACATAGCTAAAATATCTCAGCAAACCAAACCTTAACTAAAAACCCATCTTACAGACAATACTCCATCTTCATTCCGAAAACACAAAACAAGTTAAAAATTAATCCATACATACATTACCAAGACCAATTAAACCAATACAATTCTCATATACTTTCAAAGCTTAAGTTCAAGTGACATTACACAAGCTATAAATCCACCTGATTACAGGGAAATAACTCTGCCAACAACATTTTGTATCGCTTCACAGCCTGTCTTGACCTTGCACGCATTCAAGGACCGAAAAACAGAAAAAACAGGGGTTTAGCTAAAGGTCCTGCTCAAAATACACCAATAGAAGAAGATTTATTAGTATGCAGAAAATCTTCCATGAAATTGGTTAGATCAACATAAATAAAATAGGCATACTGTCAGGATGTAACGACCACTGATTTGCACACATAGAAGCCAAGAAACTTTCATCGAAAACTGATTGAATGATCCCAATTCGAGATAATGAGGAAAAAAAGGCATTGAAATTAGACTTTCAAGAAAAGTTTAAACATTAAGGGCTGGAAAGATGAACCTAACAGATGATGCACCATACTTGGAATTCAAATATATGACTTTACTTTTGTCTTACTGGATTTAAATATTAATACTTATAAACTTAACTGGAAAAATGATTAAGACTTTGAAATTTAAACAAACAGGAGATATGACATTCAAGAAGACAACATAGACACATCTAAATAGTCATTTTGAACTTCAAACATGCAGTAGTACATGGTAAATTAAAGGAGTGCATGTTGGCATACAGCTAGGGACTAAGCCTTCAGTAATTTGAATCAATAAAAATTTGCTTGAAATTCTACTAACTTCCCCAAAATTACTTCTATGTTAAAGTGACAATTCCATAACAGTTACACAGTTACTTACAAAATGAAGAGAATTATGGAATTCTTAATTCTTATTAAACATGACTAAATACAAAGAATTTATACAGTAAAAAATTGTTATTCTAGGAAGTTAATCCCCATAAATCATGAAACAATTAACTACTAATTTACACCTAATTGATTATAATTACTCCCTATGATTACTGTTATCCCTATAATTATTGCTAAATTCAAGAATCCTGGGATTTCAATTAAATCTGAAATTCCAACACTCCCCCTCAAGCGGGGGAGTACATATTTTCCATCCCTGGCTTGCTTATAATCCTTTGAAATGTGGAACTTGTCAATCCTTTAGTTAAAACGTCTACTAATTGACCCTCTGTAGAAATGTAGGGAGTGAAAATTAATCCGCTCTCAAGCTTTTCCTTTATGAAATGTCTTTCAACTTCCACATGTTTAGTTTTGTCAAGCTAAACTGGGTGAAGAGGCCAACGATTTGAAGCTGCAAGAGAAATGAATAGTCGGACAAAGGTCATTTTAGCCACTGGAGAGAATGTCTCAGAATAACCAATACCATACGTCTGGGCATAACCTTTAGCAACCAAACGAGCTTTCAATCGAGCCACAGTCCCATCGGGATTAGCCTTCACTGTGAAAACTCATTTGCACCCAATAGCCTTTTTATTTTCAGGCAACCCCATTAGAACCCATGTATCATTATGATCTAGAGCTAACATCTCTTTTTCCATAGCCCGTCGCCACCCATCATGAGCAATTGCTTCAGACATAGAGTTGGGAACAGACACAGAGTCTAAAGAGGCAATAAAAGACTTGGAAGATGAAGACAGAGAGTGATAAGTACAGGAGCGCTTACCTTTACGAAGAGCAATGGGAAGATCATGATCATGGTCAGAGGATGGCGGAACCGGATCAAAGGACGAGGCAGTCGATAGGGGCAGTGGATCAGATGTTGCTGCAGGTGTCTCATGGTGCTGGTGAACCCTGCGAGAGTATACCTGGGTGATAGGAGGACGAGATGGTAAAGGACTATGATGGGTAATGTGGTAAACAAGAAAATCATCAGGGGGTGCTTCAAGAGAAGTAGATGAGGTGGAGGACTCAACATATGGAGTGGTTTCAAAAAATGAAACATCAGCTGAGATAAGATACTTACCTAGGACAGGAGAAAAACAACGATAACCCTTCTAATATCAGGAATAACCCACGAATATGCACTTGAGGGACCTATGTTCAAATTTGGATGCATGAGATCTAACATCTTGAACAAAGCACGTGCACCCAAATACTTTAGGAGGAAGAGAGAATAAAGGTTGTGATGGAAAAAGGATGGAAAACGGGATTTGACCGCCCAAAACAGAAGAAGGCATGCAATTGATCAAGTGACATGCTATAGAGATAGCATCTGCCCAAAATTCTGTAGAGACTTTCATGTGAAAAAGGAGAGTACGAGCGACTTCTAATAAATGACGATTTTTGCGTTCAGCAACTCTATTTTGCTGAGGTGTATAAACACATGATGACTGATGAATAATACCTCTAGTAGACAAAAAGGAAGAGAAATGAGCAAAAAAGTATTCTTTGGCATTATCACTTCTGAGAATTTTAATAGATGAAGTAAATTGATTTTGTATTTCTGCATAAAAGGTAAAAAAAATGGAGAATATTTCAGAACGATTTTTCATAAAGTACAACCAAGTTACACGTGAAAAATCGTCCACAAAAATAACAAAATATCGATATCCAGACTTCAACAACACAGAGCAAGGATCCCAAACATCAGAGTGTATAACATCAAAAAGGGTTGTGGCTCTTTTGTTTATCCTAGGGCTATAGGACACTCTATGGTGTTTTCCAAACTGACACGCCTCACACTCAATGTGTGACACTGACCCTACATTAGGATATATCCTTTTCAAAATGGGAAAGGGAGGATGACCAAGGCGACCATGCAGTATGGGTAGAGATGAATCACTGGTACACGCAATAGGTTAAGAGACAGGAGTGGAGACATCATCGAGCATATACAGGCCACCTGATATACGGCCCCTACCAATAATCCGCCTCGTCCCAAGATCCAGAAATATACAATGAGTAGGAAAAAAGTAAACACCACAATTGAATGCATTAGTAATTTGACTAACTGATAAAAGATTAAAGGGAAAATGAAGAAGGCACAAGACAGAGAAAGAGACATAGATTTGTTGAGATGGGCGGTACCACATCCAATGGTAGGTGCAGTAGACCCGTTAGCTAAAGTAACCGAAGACAAATTGGGAGAAGGCGTAAATGAGGAGAGAATACCTGGCTTGCCTGTCATATGGTGGGTAGCGCTAGAATCAATGACCCAGTTACTACTAGAAGTGGACAAGCAGGCTGTAGGATTACCTAACTGGGTTAAAGTAGTGGTGGTCGATGGGATGGATGACTGGGAGCAAGCATTTTGAGTGAGACGAGCATATTCTGCTGCGGAGATAGTAATATGTGATAGGGTGGGTAAGAGACCATCTTGAGTTACAACATGAGCAAACTTCTGAGTGTCTTGAATATTCAGGGGCCTGCCATGAAGCTTCCAACAATTTTTCTTTACGTGACCCTCAGCACCACAGTGAAAGCAAGTACGAGGGCCATTACCATGATTGTTCTTAGGATCACGACTTGTCCCTTTGTTACCTTTGCTATCACCAGACTTCATGCTAGCTAGGGCCGCATGATCAACATTAGGATCCTTGAAGGTTTCCTTGTCCTTAGACACTCCTCGATCTTCCTCCTTACTAACTCTGAGAAGGCGAGCAAAGACATCCGTAAGAGAGGGAAGTGTCTCACCGGTAAGAAGTTGTGTACGAGCTATCTCATAATCCGGTCTCAACCCAGCCAAAAAACATTGCACAACCACCTGTTCTTCTTGTGCTTGCATCATTTTCACATCAGTAGGAACAGGAAACATAGCCCTTTTTTCTTCAAAGGCTTGTTTTATCTCTGTATAATATTCGAGCAATGTCTTCTCTTGCATATTTGCTCGATATATCTTTAATAACAATTCGTGAGCATGAGACAGGTCTTGTTTACCAGTATACAAGAACTCTAGATACTCCCATAACTCCTTGACTGTATCACAGTGACCAATCACATCATCCACGGACGAATCAAAAGTGTTCTGAATCTGATTGAAGAGCTTATCATCTTCCATGAGCCATCTCTTTCGAG